TCTCCCGGTAGTCATAGGGAAAGGGAGGCTTGGCAAAGTCCCCAGCGGGTCTCGCCCCCCGAGGATCCACTGGCGACGTCCAAGGCGGTCCTCGCCTGGTGACCTGCGCCACGACGCACTGTTTGGCCAGCTTGCGGAAGAGGTGCTTCGGGGGGATCCACGCAGACCTCCACCGACTCGAAAATCGCCTGGACGAGGAACTCCCAGGCAGGCTCGCAGAACACCCAGCCCAGCAGGCCCACGAGGAGCCCTACCCAAATGGCGGCGCGCGGCGCGCGAGCAGCGGCCGTCGACCCGCGCGAGCAGCGCGGTGCAGTGCCTGTAGCACGCTCTTGGCCAGTGGTTACCACGATCGCACCGGCCGCAACCTATTCGCCGTCCGCACCGCCCCCCCCCCCCCCCCCTCCACCATCTAGGCTCAGGTGCTTGTTAAGGGTCGCGCGGCGCTTCAGCTTCTCCGACGCTTCTTCGTCGGCCTTCAAGTTCTCGTTGTCACGGTCGCCGTCGAGGCGTAGGTACTCCTCTGTAGTACTCCTCGGCCAGGCTCCAGTCGACCTTGGACTTCCACTTGCCCCCGTTCTGCGCCTGGGGGCGCTGCCAGTCGGCGCGGCGCTGCGCCCGCTCATAGATTGGTCTTCCAGATCGAATAGAGCCGCAGGCGCGTCAACTCGGGCGCCTGGCTGTTGATCAGCGCGTCGCGCTCGCCCGAGCGCGCCACGCGGTCCAGGGCCAGGGCCAGCATGTTCACCTCGTTCGCCACAGAGGCGGTCTGCAGCTCCTTGGCCCGCAGCCACTCCTGCGTCTCGACGCGGGCGGCACGCCCGCCCCAGCAGAGCTTCGCCAGCACCGCGGGCGCCACCTTCGTCTTGGCGCCACCCACCTGAGCTCCGACGGCGGGCCTGTGCTGCTGCGGCACGTTCAGATGGCTGTCCTTCGGGTTGTGGGCCTCCAGCCTTAGCTGCGCGATATGATCCTTCACCGGGTCGTCGAACTCTCCGCCAATCTTGTCCCGCGAGCCGCTGCTGCCACTGCTGCTCACGGGCGCTGGCGGCGAGCCCGCGGTCGCCCTGGCGGAGTCGCGCTGGCCCGCGCCCTCGTGCTCATTCAGCTCCCCGATGAACGCGTCGATGCCCCCCGCGCTGGGCCCCCCGCTGCCAGCCGCCCCAGCCCCGATGGGGCTATCCTCGTGCCTCGTCTCAAGAGGAGGAGGCGCGTGGGCGGGCTGCTGCGCGGGGGGCCTGCCGGCGGTCTCGTCGCGGATCTCGCCCTTCAGGGCGATCGCCGCCGACGCCAGCTCCGCCTGACCCCGCGCCAGCTCGGAGCAGAGCGCCTTGGCGTCGGGCTCGTCGTCGGCGTCACTGACGCCCCGCCCGCCGATCACTGCCGTCGCGCCCGTCTCGCTCTCAGCGTCGCGGTCCGAGGTGCCACCTCGGCCTTCGCCGCCGCTGGTCGCGTGCAGCCAGAGCCCGTGCCCCGCGACGCCGATCCCGCCGATGGTGCACATGAGCTTCTCCAGGTCTCCGTTGTCGTACATATCCATCGCAAGCTCAAAGAAAGACTGGAATGCCTCGAAGGCCTCGAAGCCGACCTTCTCCACGTTGCACGCGCTGCTCAGCCGCGACCCCAGCTCCAAGTAGCGCCGCGCGCGCCAGCCCAGAAAGGCGAGCGAGCCCCGGGCACCTGCCGCGCGGTAGCTCCAGCCCGCCACCAGGGCCGTGGAAAAGCCCCTTGAACAGCCAGCTGGCCATCTGCGTCTGGGAGCTCGGCTTGCGCTTCGTCTTCTCGGGCTTAGCCTTCTCAGCGCGAGCCGCGGCCTCCTTCATCTCCGACCTAGCTATCAGCCGCTCCGACGCGATGAGAGCTGCATCCCTCTGCTTCTCCGTCAGCCCAGGATGCTCAGTCCGCACGATGCCCTGCTTCGGCTTGGCGAGGGCGAACTTGCGGTTCCTCAGGTTCACGATGATCACCCGCTGCGCGGGGTCCACAGCCGCCCACGTCGCGCTCTTGGCGCCCCCGACCCTGCTGATCAGCAGGGGCGCCACCCCCGCCGGCGTCGTCTGCGACTGGAGGCGCACGCGGTTCCACCGCGCCCATGGCGCCGCGTAGCTCGCCCGCTTGCCCCGAAACAGCTCGGGCTCGTCTCCCTTTTCCTTCTCCTCGATGAGCGGCTCGCTGTCGAGCTCCTCCTCGGTCTCGCCCCCAAGCCAGATGATAGGAGCGATCGCCCCCCACTCGCTGGCGACCACTGCCGGCGCCGGGGCCCAGCTGACGGGCCCAGCGCGCGCCGCGGCGCCACGACGCCGGCGCCGCGCCCTCGGCCGCGCGCGCCGCCCGGGCCCTCAGGGGCCAATTGCCCGCGTCGCGCGGGCCGCTCGAACGCCTGCAAGGCCGGGTGCTCTCGGGCTCAAGGAAAGCGGAGCCGCCCGCCTCTCAGGCCCTTCTAGCCGAAATTGCAGCCAAATACATGGTAGTGAGGGTGGCGATTTCGGCGGCTAAAGCGTTGACGATGCTATTGTACAAGTGCGATTGGAAACGCGTGGCATATGGCCCGGCGCGACTTTGTCGCCACCTGGGCGACGTCGCTCGGCTTCGCCGGCGCGACGTGGGCGCAGGCGGGCGTGAAATATCTTTAAGGCATATGAGTTGGCGCATGCATATAGCTCGGGCGGGGTGCGTCGGGTTGCTTCGGCCCCATCGGCAATTTCGGCGGAGCCGTGGAAGCTTTCTTTTGGGGGCTGGCCCCCGAGGGTGTAGACGTGCACAGGCCGAGTGGGTGCAGGCCGACGCGGGCCTACGCGCCCCGCCGCGGGGGGAGTAAACGCGCCCCTCTCCGCGCCGCCGTCCTGCCGCCCTTGCCATCGCTACCGCTGCGCCGGCCGGTCGCCTGCAGCCGCTAAGATTCGAGAGGCATTGGAAACAGTGGCGAGGAAACAGTGGCGAGCTAGCTCGCGCGCGCGCGCGGGGGGCCGCCCCCCCCTCGTCGTCGCGTCGTCGGCCCTGGCGCGCATATCTCTCTTATCCGCTTGGCGGAACTTCCGCTCCAAGCCGCGGCCTTGTCGAGGCCCCCTGAACGTTCTTCGCAAAACCTATCTTCGGGGGAACGAGAGACAATATCGGAACACATTGCAGGGATATCCAATATCCACGCAAAAAGCTGCCCTTTTCTCATATTTCCTGGGTCTTGCCATCAAGGGATGAGTTGTGGGATGCCTCGGTGCGTCGCCGACGTTATCCTAGGAGTAGGGTTCCCAGGGGGCCCCCGGGGCGTGTCGCGCGCGTTTTCTGGAAGCCCGGCGGGCCCCAAAATGGACCGAAAGGGGCCGAGGAGGCCGCGAAAACGGCCCGATAGAGCCTTGGGTCGCCTCGAGACCGCTCCCAGATCCGCGCGACGGCTTCAAGACTGCCAAAGGGGCCCCCAAGAAGCTCCAAGAGGGCCCCAAGAGCACCCCGCAGAGATTCCGAGGACACCCACATCATTGTTCCCACGGCTTTGCGAGATTTTAGCCTTCTCGCCTACTTTGAACTGTTTGCTCTCCAAGACGGCGCAATAATGTAATGTGAGGGCGCAGGGCTTTCCCGGGCGGTCCTGGGAATTCCCGGGACCGCCCGGGAAACCGGAAGTCCGGGCCTTCTAGAGCATAGAAGCTCGATTGCACGATTGTAGCAGCAGGACACTTGTGAGCCTTGGGGCATCCCACTTCGTGACAAGGGTTCGGTGGCGGATTTCCGCCGTGGTAATAGCACCATTGGAAGACAACTCTGTTGAAGCATCGTTCCTTGAATTCCAGCGCCGCGAATCAACGCGACGGTTGCGCATTGACAATTGTAAGTTGCGCCAGAACACCATTCTTTGGACTTCAACCGTCACCATTGTATTTTTGCAATTTGTTTAACGCATGTGCGCGGTGCTCAAGCAAGAGCAACATCCTGGAATCGTTTCACCCCCCATATGTGAACAGGCTGCAAACTTTAAGGCGAATTTTACGCGGCGCTAAAGCGTGAACCTCATATTGGAAAAGGGCCTGCCTTCCATCCTTGAGCTGCTGTAAATGTTGACGAATGTGCGCGACGCGATGGCGAGAGTCAACGTTTGAAAACGGCACGCCCTCCATCCTTGCAGTTGTTGTTGCAGGCTCGAAGCTTCAGGATCATGAGTGGTGAGGAGTATCACGCGAAACGCTTTGCCCGCCTCACCAACACGTCTGGGGAATGCGACAGGGAGGAATTGTTGAGGACCACCGCAAACACAATATCCATCAAAGATGATGCAATTAACCTTCCCCCCAAGCTCCCTCTCCATGGCCCCTACAAGGGTTCATCTCCATTGAAACGTGGGCCCCATTGGAAGGCAACCACTTGAAATCCTGAATCGTACCAGAGCATCATTCTTCGCGAGGCAACCTTACTGTTGCGTCTGTTTGGACCTGCGTCGTCCCAGAACGCCGTTCCTAAGACCACAACGCATCGAATCAACGTAGCTGTTGCGCCTTGAGGGACATGTATCGCTCCAGAACACAATTTTTGGCACGTTAACCATGGAAATAATTAAGGCGAGTATGCGTGGCGCTAGAGCGTACTTGGAGTGCGACGATTGTGTGCGGCCCTGAGGCGAGAGCCGCATGCTGTAAAGGAACTGCCCTCCATCCGTGAAGCTCTTTCAGTTCTGTACGTGCGCGAAATGTGCGCGGCGCTGAGGCGGGATCCACAGTTTGAAATGGGACCGCTTTCCATCACTTTTGTATGACGAACGCGCGCGGCGCTAAAGCGAGAACCTGATGCTGAAATCGGCTCGCCCTCCGCCCGTGAAGCTCTGGCACCTTTCCAGCGTAAGGGTTATGAACGGTGAGGAAATCTCGGGCGAAACGCCCGGCCCGCCCTGCTGGCACGTTTCGGCGGGCGACAGGGAGGGCTTGTTCACGAGTAGAAGGAGTGGGGGAGGAGAAGGAATGGAAGAGGTCAACGTGGAATGCTCTCCGTTCTCCCTTTTTTGCCGGGGGGAGGATATCGTGAGGCTCCAGCTGGCGCTGAGCGGAGAGGCCCTCCCGCGCACCCCTGCGCTCGCCTTGCCATCTCTGCCACCAGAGCCTCTGCTGCGGGCGCAGGGCGCGCTTTTGGTTTATCGATCCGTTCGTCACTGCAGCATTTTGGTGCGAAACTTGTACTCCCAGGAGATGGGTGAACGCTTTCTTGGGGCGTGCCTGGAGGCGCAGGGCCAGGCTCGAGGATCGACAATGAAGGGTTGCCGCGTGGGCGCATTGCCGGACGGCGGGCCGAGATCCGAGGATCGAGGCTGTGGCACCCGTCGGGCCCTGCTCGTGGGCTCTGGGGAGCTCTTGGGTTTCAGAGAGGCCCCAATGGATCGAGGAAGCTCAGAAAGATTCCTGGGTAATGGGAGACAGGGGGTGTGGGCGCTTGCGGTAATTGTTTGCCCTCTGGAGGTCTCCAGAACCCTCCGCGGTAACCTCCACAGACAGCTGTGAGGACCAGGGGCCCAGCGAGTACATGGTCGCCTGCGGGGTGCGCGACGATATCCGCGCTTCGCGGTCTTGAGCAAGAGTCGTTTCTCTCCAGGGTGGCCACGGGAGGGCGCGAGGATGGTCGCGCTTCGCGCAGCGCGAAGCGCGGCTTAGGGGACCAGCCGGTCGGGTGGAGGGCCTGATGGCGTCTGCGGGCACCGATTCCGCTAGGCCGATCCTTGACCCGGGATCGGTGTATGTGCAATGCTGCCCAAGCCACGAGTGCGTATGCCCAGGATGAGCCTGGCCATGATCGGTGTGGGTGTCGAGTTGGCGCTCTCCGATGTTTTACTGCAACCAGTATCCGGACAGACATAGCAGTAACCTTTACGAAGACACGTGCAACACCAGCACCATGGCGGTGGACGAGAAACTCCAGGTGCAGAACCAGTACGTGCACCACATGTGTGCCCAGTGGCGTCTCTACAGGAGCAATTTCTCCATGAGCATCCCAAACTTCATCGAGCATTCCGCCCCTCTAATGAATTCTTACGGCGTGGTCTACATAGCCTCGGCCTCCACGCGTTCAACCTCGAGGTCCAGAATAATCCATACAGCAAGTTCAACGTGATTATCAGTTCAGTGCATGGAAGAACCCCGATCGAGCGAGCGAAGGGCATGGTTCAATCCTGGAGCAAAGACGTGTGGTTGTCGTAGAAGCGCCCACTGCGCGGAGAGGCCTTCAACGGAACGGGGGGCCCACGGCAAACCAGACTTTCGTGGTCCTCGAGATGCAGTGGAAAAGTGGCGCGGCATCCCAGAGAACGCAACGAGTGGATTTAGGGGGGTCAGGATGCAATTGTTGCCATCGTGGGGATGATGAGGAAGATTAGGATTAGCAGTGGGAGGAGGTTGAGCGGACCCAACCCCGTTTCAAGCATGATTCACGGGCTTATGCCACACCGCTGACCCTTTCGGGCCCGTGAATACAGACAGATACCATATTTGACCGTAGGATGCCGATTCATGTGTTGCTAGACTCCTCTCTTTCCTCCTCCTCCCCCTCCTCCTTTTCCTCATCTCCCCTCCCGCCTTCCGCTCCGTCCCTTCGATCGTCGACCTTCCTCGATCTCTCTCCCTCCTCCTGCTTCCCTCGATCCGTGCTACCATCGATCTTCGATCGTCATTCGTCGATCCTACGACAACGCCGCCCAGAGGCATCCAGGGCCCCGAGAGCGTAAACAAGTGTTCTTTTACGCTTGCGAGGGGTTTGGCAGTTTGAAGCCGTTGGGGGGTCGCTTGGGAGCCTCCAAAGGGCTCGTTTGGACCTCTTGGGGGCGTCTCGGGGCCCTCCTGGGCCGTCTCAGGTGCCTCTTTGGCCGTCTTGGGGCCATCTTGGGTCGTCTTGGGCTTCTCTTGGGCCGAGGTGGTTGTTATGTGTATTCCAGCCTTTCCTCCCTCGCCGCTCCCTCCTCACGTTGCCCTGCCGCCGCTGCTCGGCTCGCGATGGCCCTTGAGTCACCGGGCGCACTGGCCGCGCCGCCCCGCGTGCGCACTGCTGAAAGAGAGCGCGGCCTCCCCTGCTGCGGGCCCCATTCTCTGTTCTCGTTCTAGACCCACTACATCACCCGAGCTACCGCCGTGATTTCCACAGAAGTAGCGTGGTCTACGTGGCTTCGATTTCGACAGGAGGTCCCGGAAGGCCACCCCGACCTTTTGTTGTCCCAGTCTGGGATGACATAGCCTTTGCCATCGGGCCCACTCGCCCTACCTGACCCCCGCGCATCGCGCCGCAATGGCAGTCCCTGGCGGAGCCGAAGGTGGAGGTCAATGGGAAGGTGATGAAGATCGATGGTGGTCTCAAGCAGATTGGGACCGCTGGTACGCCGACGACTACCAAAGATAAGGCCTTCCTTTTAGCCGATCGCGATCCTTGGGCGAGAGGCCGGGACAGGATGAATTTGCCTGATACGCAGGGCAAGCGCGCGAGAAGGGGCGGCGCAGCAACAGCAGGAACGGCAGGTGCTAGTGCGCCTCTGCGAGGGTCCGCGCCCGTTTTCCAACCAAGCGCGCCCACCTACTGGGGCGACGCTGGCTCCATAGGCGACAGACAATGAGGCCAACTCGCAACCCCCAGCGGATGCGCCAACAGTCATAAACGACTTGCCGCCCTCCTGGGGCGGCAAGGATCCAGACACGCGGCTGGGACCCTGCATGAAGGAACTCTCTGAAAACATGCGGCTGCTTGATATAACCTTGGTGCACGGGTGATGTGAAAATGATCGCGAACGGGCTCGCAGAAGAAGAGCTGTCCGGCGAGGGTAGCGGACAAGCGGTGCAGAAGCATAAAGGCAGCCTTTTCGCCGAATATCTCGACCGCAAGCGCCCCCAATGTCTTCGAGCAGCTCTTCTACAGTGAAGACGCCAAGAGAGCGAAGACAGAGTAGATGGTCAACTATGTGGCTCGCAGTTGTGTCTTATATGGTAAAATGAGAAGCATGTTGAGTCACCGTCACAGCTGAAGGGGTCATGCTACTCCGTCGATCCAGGTTTTGCGTGTGATGTCCGCTCATATCACCACTATATCATTATCAGTAAGGGCTTCGCCCTCTGCTGCCGGCCCCCTCTCCATCATAACTGGACATATCAGAGCTGTGTTTGGATGTTTGGGCGCCGGCTTGAAGACATCTGGGAACGTCGTGCGAAGACGGCTGGCAGTGAACAAAACACGTTGAGATGATGGAGTTGTTGTCGAAGGGTTCATTGCCTTCTCAGGGCGTTTTGCGCCTCTTGTGTGTTGGGCGCTCTCTTGGAACAGCTGGGGTTGCATGGTGCCATCTAGGGATATAGTGGCGCGTGGCGTTATACTCGAAGACATGCGGCTGCGGGCGCAGCGCGGAATTCAGGAGACAGCGGGGGGATCGAAAAGCGCATCCCGAAACATGTTCACATAGAAAACGGGCCCTTCCGATCTGGAGAACGGGCGTCGCTTGAGGGCAGCCTCTCGGGGCTGGGTGCGTAGCTTCGGAAGGGTGAATGCGGTGTAAGTTGCAAGGGGTGGTGGCGTCGGGGGCGCGAACATGGCGTACTTTACAATGTAGCGGGGTCTCGGAGGCGCGAGCGTGGCGTATTTTTTCAATGATTCGTGGTTTCGGGTGCTTGAACGTGGCGTAATTTATCAAGGTCATGGCCGCGGGGGCGAGGATGCAATGTAATTTGCTTGGCGTGGCTTCGAGGGGGGGGGGGGGGAGGGATTTTTCGCAATTTAGGAAGATCGCGGCTTCGGGGGCGCGAGCGCGGCGCAAGCTGCGCGGGGTTGCGGCGTCGGGGCGCAATTCGCGAGGGGTCGTGGCTTCGGGGGCATGCGCGTCGTGTAATTTTCGATCGGTCGAGGCCTCGGAGACGCGACCATTGCATACTTTACAATGGATCGGGGCCTGGGGGGCGCGAGTGCAGCGTAATTTGCAGTGGATTATAGCCTCGGGGCGCGAACCTTTTTGCATTTTTACGCGCCCCGCGCCACCGCCCCCCCCCCCTCCCCCCCCCCCCCCCACTCGCACACGGGAATTTTGAGAACCGCCCCCGGGTGCGTTAGCCGGGGCCTTTTGCGCCCCCCCCCCCCCCCCTCGCGCGGGCAGGGTCAATTTACAATGGGGAGCAGAGAGCAATGTTGTAACATTGGAAACTGGAACTTGGAACGGGCGCAGGGAACAGCAACCTTCATCCTCGCAGCCTGGTGGCTCCCAAGGGGGCCGGCGGATGCGCATTTTACAGCGCGCAGCAGTCGCGGCGCACAAGCGTTGCGTCCATGGCGCGGTCTCATTCGTCGCCCTGGCCGCGCTCGGCGGGGTGGGCCAGCGAGGCGGGGCGGTGGCAGCGCAGCGCGGGCCGCCAGTGGAACCAGCGCAAGAAGTGCGCGGGGTGCGGCGCGAAGAAGGTCCGGGGGGAGGCTGGCGGCCACTTGGCAGCTCAGCAACATGTCGTTGACAGGGGGTTCTGCAGATGGCGCGCTCGTCTGCCGCGTCCGCGGGGGCAGCGCCACCTCAGAGCAACCGTCCAGCGCGCGCCGGGCTGGATGCAATCGCGGCCAAGGTCAAGGGAATGACCGCGGAGGGCGCCGCGGTGGTCGAGACCTCGCAGTCGACGGCCGAGAACGAGAGCCTCGAGGCCACTTTGGCAGCGATCCCGCAGGGGGCGGAATTTGCTGCTGCCCGCTCCAGCGCGTAGGCTGCGCCCCAGGCGGCGCGCAGCAAAGCGGCCAAGTCGAGACCCATCGGCGCGCCGCTGGGCGCGCGCCGTGGAGCGCTGGAGCGCAGCGGCAAACGCGTGGCCCTCATCGACGAGTTCATGACCCAGCTCTCGTCGCTGAAAGCGACAGCCCTGCAGGAGCGCGAGCGGATGCAGAAGGAGCTGGCCGACCTCCAGGCGGCCGACTCCCAGCGACCCAACAGCATACTCGCCATGCAGAACGCTTTGACCGACGTCCTGCAGGGTATGTCCTCTGGAGCGGTCGAGCCAGCCTGCGTGGTGGCAGATCCCCATTTGCAGAGTCAGGCTGCGAGTTCCCCTGCGCCCGGGAC